GGAGCTAGATCTCCATGGTAACTGATGCTGTGGAGCAAGATCTCCATGATAACTGATGCTAACCTGGTTAGGAGCAGGTTATGATCAGAGTTTTGGATTTAAATCGGCTGGAAAGAGCGTCTCTCTTTAACCAAATCGTTTCCTGACTATTGTTGATGAGTGATACAGATTCTCAGCTGAGGGAATGTGTTTTATCTGTAAACATGCTGAGTTGTAAGTTACTGATATCACTGAATGAAGCCATCTAGTTGCCATGGGAACCAGATGTCAAAGTTAAACTTTAAACTTCATATATTTAGACATGAAATTGTATTGAAGTGCATTTGGGTCTGACACTGTCCCATAATGCAGGATATCACTTTAGTTTTGACCAGGTCAAAGCGATATTAATGTTACTGATTGAATGTTCTCTGTAATAAATACCAGTAGAATAAACAGTTTTCTAATCTGTGTTCTATCAGATGCAGTACCAGCAAAGTAAACTGACTTCACAGCAAATCAGAGCCAAACATAAAAACATATTCATGTGATTTCTGCATCACCAACTGAATACATGTAGGTTCCCATGGCAACTTGATGCATACAGTGTGTGACACTGTAACTGCACAGCTTCATTCAGTGACTTTAGTAATGCACAGGACAGCATGTAAGCAGATAAAACACATTCACTCAGCTGAGAATCTGTATCGCTCATAAATAATAGTGAACAATTTGGTTAAAGGGAGAAAGTCTTTCCAGCCGATTTAAAGCCGAAACTCCTGACCAGGTTAGCTCCACAGCATCAGTTACCATGGAGATCTAGCAAGTTAAAAGAACCTAACCTTTGTGATACTGAGAACTCTGACTTTAAGCTCAACATACCTCGATAACCCACCAATCTCGCTTCATAGTACAGCCCTCTGGCATCTATTTTGAAGTCAACAATAACAGCACCAGGCTCTTATTTTGAAGTCAACAACGAAATCAGGCTACTATTTAAAAAATAAGATAGCATCAGATTCAGATTTTTAAGCCTAAAACAAAACTCAGAATAACGCAACAGGCTCTTATTTTAAAGTCAGCAACAGGCATCCATTTTCATGTCAACAACAAAATTAGGCTGTTATTTTGAGGTCCACAACATTAGGTTTTATTTTTTAAGTCAACAATAACATTAGGCTCTTATTTTGAAGTCAACAACAACAGACGTTTTTTTTTTGTTTTTTTTTAGGTCAATAACAACAGACTTTTGTTTTGAAAGCCAGCCTGCTCCGGAAGCGAAGCGCCCTGTCTTCTTTGTATCTCCGTCGGTTTCAGGTCTGGAACGGTTCCGTTTCGGTTCCGTCTCGACAGCCGTGAGTTGAGCCTCTCGAAGCGGCGCGATGTCGGTGCTGAGCGGCCGGGCGCTGCAGCAGCAGCTGTCCGTCATCATGGAGGCGCTGACCCGGGCGGCGGTGGCGGAGATCGTGGAGCTGGTGGACGGAGGCTACGCGGCGCTGCAGCTGGAGATCAGCCGCAGCCGGCAAGAGAACGAGGACCTGCGGAAGAAGCTGCACCTCATCGAGTCCATCGTGGTCCGCGGCAGCAGCGGCGGGAAGGCGGTCGAGGGGGAGCCGAAGGAGGCGCCGACCGCTGTTGAGGCGCAGCGGCCGGAAACACCGCAGCAGCAGCGGGAAGGAGACGGAGCAGAAGTCGTTGCCGGAGGAGACCGAGGAGCTGCCGGGGCGGTGCGGGAGGAGGTACACACTAAATACAATAAATAGTTTTATGAATTATTTTTCTAGCATCTGTTATTTTTTATTTCTACGGAGCCCCTAAAGGAACACGTCGGAGTAAAAAAAAAAGACGCAAAGTTTCTCGTGCGCACAAGATGTATATCTCGTGAGCGTCACAAAGGCTTCACGTGCGAATACAGGATGTGGGATGCTGGGAATTTAGGCTCTTTGAAGGAAGCAAAACTATGTGTACATGTGTGTGGAGAGTTGTGTGTCTGCATCTCTGCCTGTAGTCAGATTTGTCAATTTGTAAAAAGATTTGTAAATGTGTACAAAGATATTTACAGAACCCCTGACTGGCCACAGAGACAAAAATAATGATAACATGTGGTGATGTTACCACACCTTATGTTATTTTTAAATTACTAAATTATTTGAAGGGAAATGCTTTGAAAAAAACTCAGTAAAGTTCTATTCATTGTGTGCAGTGCCACCAAACTCACATCACACATCAGTGAGCTCCCTCTGGTTGTACTGCAGCCCTTTGATTGGAATAAAATCATTTTTAGGAATACATTTGTAAACCTCCATTATTTTTATAACCTGTTACTGAAAAGACGTGCAGTCGCTTTTGTGATTTTATGCGATGTAGCTTAGTTTTCTTTGTAATGAGGTTTCTCAATGGTATGAAATATGTGATCTGATCAAATTCAAACAACTGTAAACCTGTGCCTTTTTATATGTTGTATTTTTTCCTGAATAAGACAAACAGAAGAGCCATCAAAATTATTTACTTCTTTTTATGCACAGCAAATAAATACGTTCATGGATGTGTGATGTGAGTTTGGTGGCACTACAAGCAGTAAATAAAAAGTTGTTGAGAGTTTTTTTCAAGGCATTTCCTTTCGCTGTTGTAATTTGTCCACGGTCCCTGAGCTCCCATTTGGCAGCAGGCTGAACAGAAAGATCAATGTAATTTATAAAGAATGGAGGATGTCTGATTTTGGCCGGTTGTGGTCTGTATCACAACATTTGGAAAGAGGTGCCATTTAATTTGCTTTGGAGTTACTGGTGAAGTACAGAAGCCGAGAGCGGTCATGGCCGCACATTTTTTTAAATGGCATTTTCTCGAGATAACGAGACAATTATCCCGTTATCTGGAGAAAACGGGGCTGTTTTCTCAAGAAAACGAACGCCGGTTTCTCGAGATAACGGGATAATTATCCCTGGATACTGATGCCTGTGTTTACAAAGAAACGCTCTGGAGTGCAGCAGTGACTTTGCCGAGAACAGACTGAAAATGTCAGATCGAGGATCATCATGACATGATGGATTTAACACAAACACCAATTATCTCGGTATCTCGAGAAAACGAAGTTGGTTTTCTCGAGATAAATTATCTTGTTTTCACGAGAAAACGATTCTTGTTATCCCGAGATAACGAGAAAATTAACTCGTTATGTCGAGAAAACGGCGAAGAAAGAACAGTAGAAAACGACCGCTCTCGGCTTCCGTAGTGAAGTTCTAATCTTTGAATATCTTTCCAACTTTACTGAACTCTGGAAGCGGCATTGGTGAAAAAAATACAATGCGAGGGAATGAGATAATAACTCACTACCTCAAGTTAATAACCACAAGATAATTTATGTTCCCACGCATTATATGTTTTCTTTCTCTATGGCCACTCAGGGGTCTGTAGATATTAAAAGATGAAAAGTCTAAGTCTTTAGCTACAAGTGCTGAAAACACAGACAAATCACCAGTTACAAGTCAAGCAGGCCTCACAGTTGGTTCTCTTTGTACACATGAACTTTATTACACATCTGTAACTTGAGGGTTTCTGTGTCCTGAGCTCAGGCTCACAGGCTCATTCATTCTGGCTTCATGCTGCTCTGCTGCTCCGTACTTCAGTAGTTATGCCGCCTACTATCGACAAATCTCACTACAGGCACACAGATTGAGATACAGACACACAACTGTCCATGCACATTTACAAATACTTTTGCTAATGGCTCCCTTCAAAGAGCCTAAATTCCCAGCATCCCACATCCTGTATCCCGTTTGCACGTGAAGCCTTTGTGGTGCACACGAGAAACCACCACATAGTGTCTTATGCGCACAAGATACTTGCCATCTTTTTTTTTTTCTCAGACATGTCCGTTTAGGGGCTCCGTAGTTAACAGTTAATCGATGCAGATAATAACTTTCTCTCAACGGACTAGTTTTGGTTCATGGAAGATAATTTTGTCTAGATTAAAAAAAAAAAAAAAAAAAAAACTGTAATAAATAATTAAATTGTAATTTGAGAATGAACCATTAAATTGAACCTCTCAGTGCATCTTTTTGGGCCATCTGGGATGCCATACATTTTGACTTATTATTAATATTATTCATAATCATAATAATAATAGGGGCTGAAAGGTGGAGCGGTGGTTAGCACCGTTGCCTCGCAGCTAGAAGGTCGCTGGTTCGTGTCCCGGTGAGGACACCTGGGATCTTTCTGTGTGGAGTTTGCATGTTCTCCCTGTGCAGCGTGGGTTCTCTCTGGGTTCTCCAGCTTCCCCCCACAAAGTCCAAAAACATGTTGAGGTTAATTAGTGATTCTAAATTGTCCATAGGTGTGAATGTGAGTGTGCTTGGTTGTCTGTCTCTAAGTGTAGCCCTGTGATAGACTGGCGACCTGTCCAGGGTGTCCCCTGCCTTCACCCTGAGTCAGCTGGGATAGACTCCAGCCCCCCATGACCCCAGTGAGGATAAAGCGGTGTATAGATAATGGATGGATGGATGGATAATAATAATAAACTCTGATCATTTTGTGCAGCGAGATCTTAAAGAAACCAGTGAAACTCTGCAGAGACCAGGCGACGCTGCAGTCATTGTATTTTTAATCTGAAATTATCTCCACATCAGAAGTTCATGATCTCCTTATCTGTGCTCGCTGACATGTTGATTTATTTTAGTCTCAGACTCGTTCCTTCAGTCTTTGAAGCTGTTTTCTCCTGTTAATGATCTCCTCATCCAAAGAAACCAAAAGGCAAATTTTAGAGATAACATGATCATTACCGGAAGATTTTTGAGATTTTTCTGCACGAAGCGACGATGCCTTTAACTCAGCTGGTGAAAGTTAATCTGCTTTCCTCTTTTTAATTATTTCCTCATTAAAACTTGAAGTTAATCTTGAAGATGAGTCAGCCAATCACAGACCAAGAGATATTTTCCCTTTATTACTTTGCCTGTTATTGGCTTTCACTCGGTTTTTCCAGATTTAAGGTCAATATGACAAGTAATAAATGCAACACTTTGCTTGTTTGCATGTTCAACTGAAATGTTTTTCATGTGACGTGACATTAACGGCGTCATTGTTGGTCTTTTGCTGCTGCAGTTTCCAGACGTCGTGTTGATCAAAGATGAAGACTCCGACAGTAACGACACCTTTGAGGAAGGTGAGCAGAATCTCTGAACATAAAATGTGTTTATTACCTCAGAATGCCAATGTTAATCATTTTTTTTCAACTGATAAAATCAATTATTGATTTTTTTGAATAAAATAATCAGTTAACATAATCAGTTTACAGATTATAGTGGATATGCTGATGGGATTGTTTTTTACAACGGACGTATGAATGAAGCAGTAATAAAGGCTAAACTTTGGCTCTAGTAGATTCTGACTTACTCGAAGCCATTAAGCTTCACAGAAGTCTTTGTCGTGGTGCCTATTGCTGGCATTTCATGTCCTCAAGGGAGTGTAATCAAGGCTTTTTGGTTTGTGCTTTCTCTGCAGTACTATTCTCTCTAACACCAGGGGGCGCACAAAAACTATTTTGCTACAAGACAAGAAGAGTGTTGCTAAACGTGGCTGCTCGCTAGGCAGAGATCTTTAGAGTGCATGGTCTCTTTCCCTTGTTTGAGGCAGAGTGTCGTTGTGGCTTCATAAGAAGTGTAACACACTGTAAAGGAGCATCTCATCAGGATATTGAGTGAATATGTGAACGGTGGAGAAACTGCCTGGAGAGATATCAGGACTGTGTCATAAATACCTGATAGGTGGTGTCGCAGATCACCTTATATGTTTAAAGATGGTTGAGTGTTATATAAATGGCCTTTAACTTTTTATCTCAAAGCAACACTGTAACTTCCATCAATAAATAAAGAAGCGAAGGAGGCCGCCAAGACACGTATGACTCCTCTGAAAGGGTTACAAGCTGGTGTTCACCACCGTGCTTCACAGTGGGGATGGCATGTTTGGCACCCACCAAACATAGCATCTAGTCTGATGGGAAAAAAGCTCCAATTTGGTCTCATGAAGACAAAGAACCTTCTTCCAGTTGACTTGAGAATCTCTCATGTCATCTGCTGAAGTCCAGATTTAAGCATGTTTTTCTACAGTGTCTCTCTTTGTCTCCTATAAAGCTTTGACTGGTGAAGAACAGACAACAGTTGTTTGAACAGTCTCTTACATCTGCTGAAGTTTGTAGCTCCTTCAGAGGAGTCAGAGGTGTCTTGGTGACTTACATATTGATTGAAAACTGGCAGGATGTTCTGTAAAGCAGAATGTTTTAGCTTGCCGATGATAAAGTTTGTCTTTTCTGTCAGGTAACACATCCCCTGTGGACGGGACGGCTTCAGCCAGAGATGGCGTCTCGTCGCCTCCGGTCAGCCGGCGTATGAGGAGACGCTGGCAGGGGAGCGATGAGGCGGATAAGAAGTCGTCCTCCGAGCAGCTCAGTCTGAAAACATCCAAACTGACTGCAGCGACGCAGAAGTTAGTGTCTGTGTACTCTGTGGACTCTCCTCACAGCGAGCCGAGCTGCTCCGCTCAGCAGGGCAACGAGGTGGAGATGGAGGCCGGCGAGTCGGTGTGTTCCTTCTCCTCACCGATGGACCCGGACGTCCACCTGGTCCAGGAGTGTTCGCTGGTTCCTCCGACCTCCAGCAGGCAGGTGTACTTCAGCAGCGGCGCTCTGATCGGGTCTCAGTCGCCGAGTAACCGAGCAGAACTGGATCTGAACGTGGACCCAACGTGGTCCAAACAGTCGAAGGCTCAGATTAGTTTTGCTCCGTTCCACCAAAACGAAAACATGGACAACGACGCTTTCGGGCTAAAGCTGGTCAGCGTCTCGGGCTCGACCTCCACAGACTGTCAGCTGTCTGAAAGCAGCAGCTCGGCCTTCGAGTACGAAGACGGCGGCGGCGACATGATGAACTTTGCCCTCTACAGGGAACAGTCGGGCCGATCGCAGCTCAGCAACGGGCAGCCGAGTGCTGGCGCCCGAGGAAAACGCTTCATATGCTCCGTCTGCAACAAGACGTACGCCACGTCGCAGAACCTGGACGTTCACATGCGCATCCACACGGGCGAGCGGCCGTTCAGCTGTGACCAATGTGGCAAGAAGTTCACGCAGTCGGCTCACCTGAAGTCGCACCTGAGCGTCCACTCGGGTGAACGTCCGTACGGCTGCAAGTTCTGCTCCAGAAGCTTCATCGTCCAATACAGCCTCAAGCTGCACATGAAGAAATGTCACCCCAACGTCTGAGCGAAGACCTACATGTTCTGTAAATATGAAGACGAGGAGCTGTGTACAAATCAGAGTTTTTATAGCGGTTCAGTTTTTAAATGTGATTTACAGTAAACAGAATTTCTTTGTTTTTTGTGTATTTGTTAAACAAGAGGAGACGTTTTAAAAGGGTCATTGTGGACATTAACATTTTTAATGTTTTATTAATCAACCTATTCAGTGAAAGGCAGATTTAAACATCTCATTCATCTCCGCTGGTAGAAAGTCTAATGTACAGATCAGTAAAAGGGTTGTGTTAAAAAAAAAGCAAAAATATTCTACAGTAAATGAGTTTGTGTTGTTTTTGTTTAATAAAACAGCCTCTGAAATAGTTTTGTTTGTTATTTCCTTTGTCAGTTTTCAGATTTGTGTTTGAATTTATTAAAACTTCGAACAGTTGTCGCACTAAATTTTGTTTTTATCCTTAATTTTTCTTTTCTTGTGAGGAGTTAAATTTGTATTTTTTTAAAAAAAATGTCAAACACATACAGTGATGTTAGAGTGGTGTCAAAGAGCTGTGGTTTTGGACAATAATTGATGCCAGTTTGAGGCAAAAACAGGAGAAATGGCAATGAAATGAACTAATTTTCATTTGAGGAGAAGACACAGCTTCATATCAGAGTCTAGAAGTCATTTTTATTCAGATGTGGTTTTGGTCGGCCACATTGAAATCTTCTTGGTTTAAAGACAGACTGGAATAAATGTTTAACTTCCTTTAAAAATCACATTTCATCTCTTTTCTGAGACTCTAATTCAAACTGCAGGAGAGGATGAAAACACCATCTTCACACTGTTAGAAAAAAAGTTCATGACGTGTTCTTAAGTTGACGCAAAAGACGACAAATCATTTCTAAATTACTACAAAATTACTGCAATGAGATGTAAAATGACTACAAAAAAGCTAAATAGATAAAAAAAATTTAGCAACACCTACTAATTATACAAAAAAATAGCAAAAACTCATGTTTAAAAAATCTAAATGACTAAACAACATGCAAAATGACAAAAACAGGCCGAATGCCTAAAGAGTTACTACAAAACAACAACTCCAAAACTAAAATTACTAAATTACTAAAAACAAATTCTAAATAAGTATGAAATTATATAGAACAACTAAATGATGCAAAATTACAAAACAATAGGTTTGAAAATTACAACAAAATGACACAAGGTGACAAAGAAATTATACTTGAAAGATTATGACAAACACCCTAAAAGTACACAAATAATATAAAAAATGATTTTAACACAATAAAAGATGAAAATGGCCACAAAAAATGCTGTAAAGCTGTAACATCCAAAATTATTGCAGAGGCACAAAATGACAACAAAAAAAAAAGTGAAACTTTAGAATAATGCAAAATGACAGATCCTAAATGACTACAAAACTCACAAAAACACTTTTGAAATGGTGCAAACACTAAATGACAATAAAGATGTTCCAAAACAAAAAAAAATAAATACAATTATGGAAAATGACTAAACAGATGTAAAACAAGAAGAAAAATAATATGCAACAGTTCTCATTTAAACATGATTTTAGTTTTATATTATTAAAATATGATTTCTGCAGTTTTTTCTCTTTACTGTTCAGATCAAATCTACACTGATGGACGAAGAATCAATCATGGAAACAATCTGATCTGAATATCTGAATGTGCAGCTGTGAGTTTGTGCGGAATGATTTCAGTGTTAAACTGATTTTCTGTCTTTCTGGATGTTTTCAGGTTTAAAAACTGAATATTTTGAAAACACTGCCGAAGATTCTTTGCGCATGCGCGGTCCGCTCATGTCCAGTCGTCGCTCCCGTCCCTTCACTTCCGGGTGTGTGTTTGTGTGTCCATCAGGTGAGAAGGGACACGCGCAGGTAAACGCAGCGCACGCGCGGGTCTGTGTGTCTGTCAAGTGTCACGAGCCGCTGATCCGGACGGTTCCGCTGCACCGGACACGCACGCGAAACTCCGACATGTCTCCGGTCGCCTTCCACGCGCAGCTCGCCTCCATCATGGAGGTTCTGGCGAACACGGCGGTGGCGGAGATCTGCGAGCTGGTGGACAGTGGATACTCGGTACTGCAGCTGGAGATCAGCCGCAGCCGCAGAGAGAACGAGCTGCTGCGCCGGAAGCTGCGCCTCATGGAGCTGCGGGCCGCACGCGTCACCGCGCTGCGCGCCGCGGCCACCGCGGGCAGCTCCGCGCTGCTGCACGCGGGCAGCCGCGCGCGAGTTCATGTGGCCGCGAGCAACGAGCCCCGGAGGACCGAACCACCGACAGGTAACCGGCAACGTTCATGTTTACCGACACAAAGCGAACAAACAGAAGAAGCGGTGAAGCGGCAGAGCGTCACCGTGACGCTACTGCGGTGCGTTCACTGCCTGAGAAAACTGTTGTTTACCAAAACAGCGCAAAAAATGACGCAAATAAAACAACATTGTAGGATGAATATTCTCCGTTTTGACTTGTTCAAGGCTCCAGACTAATTTAAACATTTAAAGCAACATGTGGAGCAAAAGTTGTTTCTAATAAAGAAAATGTTGCAATAAAAGATGAAAACCAAACAATATTGTTTAAAATACAGATCTTATATTAACATATTAATATTTAATGTTTTATTTAAATCAGTGGAGACCTTAAAAACATTACCTGACTAGTTTAACTATTAAAGTTAAGACTGTTCAAAGCTATTTTTACATATGACGTGACGTGAAAGATGCAATATGTACAGGATGTGATAACGTGAGGTTGTTTTTGAAGTGGTCAGTATGGTATGCTGTATATTTATAGACATATCATCTATTTTTCATTCTGAAGTATTTATGTAGTGTGGTTCCATGAATGTCTGACTTTAGGCAGTTTTCAAAGTCTCTGCATGCAAATAACTTCATTCTGAAGGATTGGGACACAGTAATATTTTGTATAAAAATGTACTATTTTAAGTACGAAAGTTAAAAAAAAAAAAAAAGGGGGGGCAATTTAAATATTCAAGTTCAGATTTAAAACCAGGAATGTATCAGACTAATTAACAATAAATGCAAAGTGATGGCCAAAAGGATAAATATATACTCCAAATAGAAAACCACAATGGTGAACAGTTTATTCTCAGAAAATAAATGATCTTTATTGTCATTATCATTAACCAGAATTATATCCAACATACAGGCAAAACTACATAATAAAAACAAAAACAACGTCCTAAATTTTAAAATTGAAGAAGTAGGCGATTGTTACTGTCTCCTGCCGTCTATTTACGTCATCTTAAGATATTTACACTGGAGTTTTGCTTAAAAAGTTAAGTGAAATGTTGGGGTAACGTTCACATGTCTGAACCATCGAAGTCAAAACAAACAGAATTTTGGGATTAAAAAGAAAGAAAAGTTTACAAAATTATTTAAAAAGTGCAGATAAATGACAAATGTAAAGGAAAAAAGTTGCAATTTATAGATAAAAAGCTTTAAAATGAGTCAATTAATCGGAATTATAAAATGAAAAAAAAATCTAAATAATGTCTTTAGTAACGGTTTCAGTTAACAGTGTTCTAGTGACTTCTGATGACTTCACTTTGTCGAATATGTTTCCTTTGTTAACGTCACAGTGAACTGAATTATTTGGGTTTTTGTGTTTGTGAGTGATGGACGTTTCGCTTTTTGTTTTTTTTCTTGCAGCTATTTAGTTTTTGGGACTTTATTTACAGACACCCTGAAGGTGCTGAAGTGGGGAATAACAGCTGCTATTGTACAAACTGAACCAACTCATTCATTGAGCTGTTTACAAGAGATTCAGTTTAAAAAAAAACTAACTAGGAAGGTAGAATTCATTCAGTCACATAATATCCAGAGAGAATCATCATATTCAGCTTCACTGTGTCGTCCTGACTCACCTGCTGCAGGTGAGACGCTGCCGTCCAGATCATCCAATAAGGAGCCGGCCCGCTGCAGAGACCCGGAACCTCCATCAGAACCCAAACAGGAAGCGGTGAGTAGAAGAAGAACAGAGTCATCGTTTAAATCTGAACCTCTTCCTTCATCTTCGTTCTCTGATTCCAGCCTCCTGCAGGCAGCTCGACGGCCATCATCAAAGTGGAGGATGATGAGGAAGAGGAAGATGTTGAAGAGTCGTGGCGTCCCACTGAACCCGACAGTAAGTGAAGAAAGTTTTCATGAACGCAGCACAGATAGTTTAACTGTCTGAACCCCGAAATCAGCTGCAGGCTTTGACAGGCAGTTTAATGTCCTAAGGAAGGAAGGAAACACTAAGGAAATAAATCGATGAAAAATATCTGTTCTGTGCATCTTTTGTGTGAAAATATTGAACTTGGTTAAGAATGACAATAAAAATGTTTAAAATTAGTATAGTAATAAAACCAAGTAAATAAAAAAATATATATATGATTTAAATTTGGAGACGTTTCAAGACCTTTTGTTTTGAATTGTTTGAACCATGTAAAACTGATATTTTCTTTCTCTCCAGAAGCTTTTTGTCGTGCCGCTGAAGAACAAACGGAGACAGAAGCTCCGTCGATCAAACAGGAAGCAGCTGACGGCGACGACTCGTCATCATGGGTGAGCATTGAGGTCAGCCCCCCCTCCACGTCCGTCCACAAAACCCTGAGCACCAATCAGAGGCCAGAAACCAGCGGCTACGACTGCCTGATGTTTACCCAGAACCCTCTGGAGGCCGGCTGCTCCTCGGCCGAGTCAGGCGGCGGACTCAGTTTTGTGTCGACAGCTGATCAACAGCAGCCTGCAGGATGCAGCAGCAGCCAGCAGAGGGCGCCGCCTGAAGAGGAGCCGGAGAAGAACGCTGCGATTGGGAGGGTCGTCTGGAGGCGTCCGGATGCTTTTGGTGGAACTGGCGACGTCCGAGGAGACGAATCTGGAGGGAAGTTCGTGTGCAGCTGCTGCGGAAAGACTCTGGCCTGCCTGAAGAACCTGAAGACGCACATGAGGGTCCACACGGGCGAGAAGCCGTTCGTCTGCGCGCTCTGCGGCAAACGATTCTCCGACTCCAGCAACCTGAAACGGCACCAGAGCGTCCACACCGGCGAGAAGCGCTACGGCTGCGTCCACTGCGGCAAACGCTTCGCCCAGTCGGGTTCGCTGAAGGTCCACATGACCGTCCACACCGACTGCAAGGAGTTCAGGTGTTCCTTCTGCGGCAAAACCTTCATCTCCGGCAGCCACCTGAGGCGACACGTCACTGTTCACGCAGCCGAGAAACGCTTCCCCACTGCGCCGCCGTGACACCAATGTATGATCCGATAAACTCATCCAGCTGATGGAGGCTCAAACAGAGCAGCATCAATATGTAGAAGAACGTCAAAATCTGACAAGTCTCACCTGACGTCCACTGAATCAGCTGTTTCTTTATCCACAGTGACTTTAGTTTCTTTAATGAAGCAAAGTTTTGCCTTCATGCTATGAATATTTTCAGACTTACAGGCCTTTGAAGTCCATAGAGGAGGGTCCACATTTTAAATGTTTCAAAGCAACCAAAATATGACAACCCCCCCAAAAGGAAGCTGTAAAAGTGATCACAGACGATGTATTTCTGCTGGAAAGTCTTGTGTTTTAACATGGAGGTCTGTGGAGGGTTGACTCGCTTTTGGAGCCTCAAGTGGACATTTGAGGAACTGCAGCTTCTGACTTTTTTTTTTTTTTTTCAGCTCCAAAGTTTGACGAGAGCGTTTGTGTATTCAATGAAGCAAAGTTTGACCTTCATACTATGAATAGTTTCAGAGTTCCAGACCGTTGAAGTCCATAGAGGAGGGTCCATTAAATATACTAACGTTTTTGTATCGATGTTTTATTGACTGAACCAACTGACTGAAGCTTGTTGTTTTGTAAAGTTTTAAAATCTGCTCATACCCGAGGAAACATTCTGACTTATTTTCATTTCCTGATGTTACTGAATGAATGAAGTCTGATTTCTGTGTGTAGATTTTGTTCTGTTGATCACCGATCGATTGTAAAATCCTCCACCGGGACTCGGACGGAGCCGACTGAACGATTTCTTGGTGGAGCTTTAGAAACAAACATCCTGAAATAGGCATCAGAGACGAATCAGCACATCTGGTCAGAACTCTGAGAATAACAATCGAGCCAGACTTAGTTTTAGGAGGAATTAAGATTCAGATTTTTGATGGTGAATTTAAATCGTTCACACTTACAGTTCTTTAATCTGAACTGAATGAAGAGAAAACTGAGTCAAAGTTTCATCGGTTCAGAGTGAAACATCCGGAAAACTGTTTAAATCAGCAGACTGATCAGGATACGACGGCTTTTCTTTTAACATTTTAGCTCCATTTGTCTTTTTTAAATGTGTTTTGTGAGAAATAAACTTTGAACCTGGTTTCAGCTCAGTTTGTTCAGTTTGTTCAGAGTTTTTGGCTCCAGAAGGTGACTGATTATTTTTATTCACTTTAACATTTGTCAGGTTTGTCTGAACGACAAAATCACCGTTAACCGACGTAAATCTGACATTAGGGCGTCTTTTTTTCACTTATTTCAAAAAGTAGCTTTTGGTCACAAATCTGCTGCAAAAACAAAAAAAAGCATTTTTGTTTTATTTCTGCATCAGCTGGTCACAAATGCAGTGCAGTGTGGGTTCTCTAGCTTCCTCCCACACAGTCCAAAAACATGTTGAGGTTAATTGGTGATTCTAAATTGTCTGTAGGTGTGAATGTGAGTGTGCTTGGTTGTCTGTCTCTAAGTGTAGCCCTGTGATAGACTGGTGACCTGTCCAGGGTGTCCCCTGCCTTCGCCCTAAGTCGGCTGGGATAGACTCCAGCCCCCCTAGTGAGGATTAAGAGGTGTATAGATAATGGATGGATGGGTTTTTTGTCTGCAATTCAAAGTTTGAAAAGAAAAAAATGTTGCAGTTTACATTACATCAGGTTTTACTCCACAAAAGTTGCGACTGCAGAGGTTTTTCTGCTCATTCAGAAACAGAAAATTAATCCGTTAAAGACAGATTTCAAATGCTGAAGAGAAAAGCATTGAATAAAACTAAATATTTTGCTGCCAAACACAGGAAGAAATTTGAAAACGAGTTTAAATCCAGTTAAACTCAGGTTGGAGATAAAAACCAGTTCAACAGCAGAAGTTTGTTCTTCAAAATGTGCTGAGAAAAGTTTGGATTAAGTCAAACAGCTGATTAAAGACCAACTGGATTCAGGTTCAGCAGCGACTTTTAATCTGTTTTCTTAATATTCAGTCTTATTTATAGGAAAAGTGGTAATAAAGTTAAACGTTGCAGCTCAATGTTGTTTCTGACGATGAAAAGATTAAAAGAAAGTCAGTGAATGTTCATATTGCTGTGAAGAAACCAGTGCTTTAGTGTCGAGATCAAGCAAATGTACAAACGTTAACATATAAAAGAGAAAAGAGCTAAATTTGGGAACAATAATTTTATATGTGAAATAAAACACAGGTCTTCAGCTGCAGTTGTTTGCACTTTTTTATTTTTAGTTTCTGTGCAGCTTCTTTGCTTTGTTCAGATGTTTTTTTTAATGTCACTTCCTCGATCTCAACGTGTTAAAAGACGAACCAAAGTGAAAACAAAAACCTGTTTCCACCTGAGTGAGTCCAGATAAGTTCGACTCAAATTTTCAGAAGGAAGTTACTCAAGTTTCCAGATTGTTCTTCTTAAATGCAGGATGAAGTTCTCTAAAGACGGCCTCAAAATGTCTTTTCTAAATTTCTAAACCATGCATCGAGCACGTTTTTCTTTTGTCATCGTGCAACATTGGTGGGAACACTTTACAGAAAAATGTTCTATTTTATGTTCTTCAGCATCCACAAAACATCCTCAAAATGTTCCAACTTTATTCTTATTTACCGTTACAGGAACTTTTATCAAAAGGCCTGGAAAACATTATTTTGAAAGTATCATAATCTGACAACATCCTCCAAACATAATTTTGAATTCTCCATTTAAAACATTCTGTCTGAATGAACTTCAACCTGATAAGAACATTATTTAAAATAAGAAATATCCTTAAATAATTCTTTGAACAGTAGATTTCTTTAAAACGTCATTAGAACGTGTAGGTAACAAACAGTAAAATAAACTATTAAATTAAAGCTGCTGCTGAAAAAAATATGAAAAACACCAGAAACATGAAATGTTTAATGGATCATAACATTTAATTGGATGAAACGAAACACTTTCACTGACGATATGTAAAACACTGTCAAAATGAATCCTTAAAACACAGTAAGAGGCAAAAAAATGACTCCTAAATACAGTCGGTGAGCTACAATTTGTTCATTTTGATTATTTACTGACTGAAACACAGCGATCAACACTGTAAAATAGTGTCAATTTGGAAGCAGATTTTCACAATAACATTGAATTCAGAATTTGTTAAAAATCTTATTTTTGCGTCTCATTTAAGGTTTAATTTTAACAGCTGATAAACTGACTTTACAATCATGAATACAGTAAAAACAAACGGAATAAGTGCGTCACAAGCAGAGTATCACGTGTCCAGCTATGGAGACAGTCAGAGTTAAAAAATAAAAAAAGAACTATGTACAACATTAGTAACACCACATTCAGTAGCTGCATCACAGAATCTAAACATCTAACGGTGAAATTTATGTTCAAGAAATTTCATTTCAATGTGTTTTCGTCACAGGACGTTTCTTTTTTGTCTTTTAGAACAAGATTTTAATTAACAGCAACAACAAAAATCTTGATCTATATTTAACTTTCCTTATTTAAAGCTGCATTAGTTTATTTGTGGCCACCAGGGGGCAGCAGAATGAGAGCTTTATCAATCATTTCCTGTAGTTTTAGCTCAGTTTTGGTCTCCTCCAACACCCAAGACTCATTTTTTGTCGTAAAAACCAAATCTAGGAGCTAAAAGAGGCTAAAAAGCTTCTCAGTGGGTTACAAGCTACACATTTCACACAACTATTTAATCCATTGTTAACATACAAATATTCGAAATATTAAAAGTGCAGCTTTAAATACAAAGTCAAGCAGAGCAGTATTAAAAATATCAGCGATATATTCTGATTTTCGTTCATTGACGAGGACATGTGGCGTAACATTTCCTGAATTAAACCAATTTGGCACTTTGACGTGAATAAAAACACATCAAATGATTCAGAAACTCCTGATTTACACCAGCAGAGAGATTTAAATGTTCGGTCACACCAGCGTTTGAGGTTTTTCGATTGTGTTGGTTGAAATTTGCACAAATCTGTTGCATGTAAACGGTTCTGAGCTCTGAATGAAAGAAGACGTAGCTGCACATCAACATCCGGTTGGTTCACTAACAGGAGACCATGCTTCAAAAACATCTTTAAATAAACTGTGTGAACTTATTTTGCTGTTAGCGACTGAACCAGTGGGTTATTTGTAGGGTTTCCATCTACAGGTGGCACAAGTTTTGGCAGAATTTTCAGAAAAACAGCAGAAGGAAAGTGTAAATTAATGCTTGTTTCAATCTGCTGCTGTTTTGCAAACGTTAGATTGAGATAACGGTGGTGGTGGTGGTGAAAAATCTGGAGGTAAAAGATGGACGTAGCCATTGAGATTTTACCTGTTAGTTTGTTGATTAGCATTTTGAAGCTTTGAATTTGAAATGAAATGAATTCAAATTTACAACATAATCATCATGTTGTTTTGAAGGAGACTTGAAACTACCAACTGCGACCATAAATCCTTTAGGAAAATGTCCACTGAGGTAACAGATCAAGTAAGAAGTTGGATCTTTTTCTCATAGACTTCTATACAGTCTGAGTCGCCCCCTACTGGCTGTTAGAGAGAATGCAGCTTTAAAGCTTCTGTTTTCTTTCTTCAGCTACGTCCATCTTTTATCTACAGTCTGTGGATGGAGTGCATAAAGCATTTGCATCGCTTATATATTCTAAGAGTAATTTACGGCCATGTTTTAGCTTTCTGGTTTAGTCGCATTCTTCACGTTCGTCATGATTTTTTCACTGATGGTTCGTGTTCACAGTGGCGATTTTGGACATGAATGGTCGTACAGCTTCCCAACATTGGACACTTGATGGACGTAAGACTAGTCAACAAAAAAACAAACATTAGCTGCAACTGATTGGACAATCGCTTCACTCGTAGACTGTCAGTGTGTGGCTTTTGAACTTGACCAACTTAGTTCAAAAACCCTTCCTTGTATTCCATTAATAGTAATTGTGTTTCTGAAAACTGCAAAATCTGTCTTTTCAGATCATCAACATTGTGTTTAGAAGTATTTTGAGAGTTTCCAGAGTTGGAGAGTTGGACGTCCTTGATGTGTAAAAAGTTGCCTAAACCTCAACTTTACACAAATATGGAGCCAACGAGACGTTACCAGAATGCATTGCTCTTTGTTTACATAGACAATGAATGGAAAACGTGGCGATGACTGATCCTGTGGACACGTATCAAAAAATTGCACTTATTATAACTTCTTACTAAAATTTCCAGCGTTTCTATTCACTATTTTAAATTAAAAATGTGCACAAAATGCATTGGATTTATGCCAACTTAGTGACTAGTTACCAAACTAACAAGCTGGAGGAGCTTGTTTTAAACCTCTAACAGTCCTACCAGCTGCCAGTATTCACTACAAGACGTGAAATCGACTGTGTTTTTGCTGGTGTGACCTGATCTTAACTCTTCATGCTGCAGATCTGATGCTGTGCTCACAAGATGGTCGTTAGCAATCCTAACGATTCCAACTTAGAAGTCAGAAACTGTGAATGACGATGATCCACATGTGACCTGAACGCAGCCTGATTATCAAAACTGAAGAGGTTTAATTGATCCTAAAGTTTTTACACAATCTGGAACATGAAGAGCTAAACTTTTCTCAGCTCCTCTGGTCGACTTTAATACACAAAAACAAACATTTAAAGAGCTGATCTGTGCTGCAGGTGAAGCTCAGATCATCTCGTTCTTCAGGCTAGTTTGAGGCCCAAACATGATTCTTCTTTTTTTTTTTTTTAAACTCTATGCGGTGAAAACCTCATAAAGCTTGACAGTACTTGTTTCCCCTTAATCGTGTTTCCTGCCACACTTCTTTTCCTGATAAAACCTTTTATTTTCTCCAGCAGGAATCACTGGAGTTAATATACTTTAGTTAACTTTACCCCCATTGTGACTTTACAGACCTTCTCCCAAATCCACAAACGTTCTCCTGGATCATTTCTGAGGTTGAAAACAGCTGCGATTCTCCCTTTTTCTACAGTTATTGCTCCCTCAAAGACAAAACTGGTTACACTTTAAGAGTTAGAAATGTGTGAATAAGACCAGACCTGTACGGGATTAAATTGGTGTCAAAATAAATGAACAGAATCTCCAACAACAGTAAACCAAAAAAGGAGCTCAAAGGTGCCACATTTGATTTTCTCATTTTTAGTTGAAAGGTCCAATGTGGGCGGGTCTTACAGCGCTGCGTCCTCATTGGACATTGGTTGATTTTTAGCTTTTATTTTTAGTACGGCTCTATCGATATTGTTTTTCAGGGCCGATACCATATTTATTATTAGCAATCAAGGGCACCTATAACTAGTATTTGGAGCCGATATGCATTAAATGTTATATATTAACAGCATGTGACAACAGGGAACGTGTCATTCATAACTACATTACTTCATTAATAATGATAATTGTTATAACTAATTGAGATTATACTAGATCGATCCAGAGAGCATTAGCTGCAGGCTAAGTGGCACAGCTAACCTCTTAGTGATAGCATTAGCCTAGCAATGTTAGCAGAGTCAGTCCCAGCTGTTCTGACGCAAATGAGTGAATTATTTAGGCATTTCTAGAGTAACAGAGAAACTGAAAAAAATTTAGGATTGTGGTTTTATTTAACGTTCATTTGCTAACGTTGCTGCTAATTCAACTGAGCTGCGTCTGTCCATGTCAGAACAGCTTTCATTGCTGATTGGTTGTTACTGGTGTTGTGTAACCAATCAGACCATGCTGTGGGCGGGGCTGAGACCACAGACTGATTGGTTAATAAAAATAATGATAGTGATAATTTTAAAATGTATAGTATTAACCCAGATAATTGATCGATATGTAATATTTAGGTAGTTAGCATGCAATTTTCACGCCACTATCTCCTCTTCCATTTTGTGCACGAACATACACAAGCTCAAACGTGCACGTGACACAATGCAAAAGTGTTGTTTGGTTCAGTCTGAGCTACTTTTGTTTGTTTGTTTCCAGAGCTGGTAAAAAACTAAACCTGTGTTCAATAAGTTTTAGATCCACAGATCTGTTGCTCCAAGAGCTGAAGCTGAAATATAAAAATGAAGCAGCCAAACTGGAGTGAGCGGCGACAGACGAATAGTCTCCACCAATAATAGTCAAACGTGCCCCTCTTCAGTTATTATGACACAAATTTGATCCCGTAGCTCTGAAATATAAAAACCTGAGCTGTGAATGATTTTCCCGTCTGCAGCCGGGTGGAGTTCACCGCAAAATAAAACCGAATGGCCAACAAATCAAAAGCTGCGTTCTCACGTGGATTTAAAAAAAAAAGGCACAAGTTTGGAAACTCAAAACGTGAGCTGCACCCCTTTAATGGGCAAAGCCAAGGTCTACAAAACACATAACCGAACTATAACGAGCAGCAGCAGGCCAATAAACAGTTTTACTTGATTCTGTCTCTGAAAAAACACCTGAGAGCTGAGAAAAGATTAAGCTGTGATTCGTCTGCTGCTGTTTGATAGATATTTCACATCAAAGCCTGTTTTGCGGCACAAGCTTCATTCAGCGAGTATCCTTCATTTAAATTATGTAAACGTCATCTGTATGTGTTACATAATGTGTGAATTTCGCAGTAACTCCACCCGTCTGCTGCAGCACGAGGATTAAATCAAACGCTCCTCACAACCCTGGAGCAGGTCTGTTTGATGATCCAACAGCGTTTTAGGCTTTAACCAACAGTTCCCTGTATTATTATTATTATTATTATTATTATTATAACTCAGCTGCTGACTGTTATCAAGGCACTTAACAGCTGAAGAGTTTTACCACAAAATGAGGAAAACGTCTATTTCATGTCTAAATAAGATTTACATGCTACTGTTAAAGCTGCATCAGAAAATGTGATTATTTTTATAAGTTAAACCCAGAAATCTGGTAAAATTCTGCTTAGTATGTGTTTTTGTGTTTCCATGTGGGTTTATTTTCAATCAGCGGCTTTAATTTGAAAGAAATACATGAATAAAAATCCCAAAATTAACTGCTGAAGTCTTTTTTTTTTTTTTTAAGTTTACGTCCCCTTATTAAATAAAATGTACTTAAAAGCAGGAAAATCAATCAAAACAACAACACATCTATTATCCTGATGACAATTATTCAACAGAAAGTTGGAAATTATTGTTATATTTTGCCAGATGTTGGATGTTTATGATGAAATCTGAGCTGATGCAGCTTTAATTCACTAAAAATAATTTTTGTGCAGGATTTTATTTTGGAGTAAAACTCTTCGTTCACTTTCGTCAGGAATAAAAATGGCACTTTTTCTCCTGCGTTTAAAATTCCAGGTGATTTTTGTGCATTTGGTTTTTAGAAAAAGTCACAGCTCTTATCTTAAATAGAAGTGAGGCTCCCTGTTTGTGTTTCTTTAAACCTGAATTCGTTCTGCAGACGTGAAAAATCTGACATTTGGTCACTTTGGGCAGCTCAAAAACAGCCGCTAACGAAGGAAAATACACTTTGCAGGTACATTTTATATTTGATATGACGTTATTTAGCTGCTAAACTACAGTAACTCGTGTCTCTGAGCTCCTTCGACAATTTAACAGCATTTACTAGCTGAAGGTTCAGTCAGATTATTCACGGTTTCATCTTTAATCTGACTTTAAAGGTTAAAAATGCTTGTATTTAGCTATTTAATTAAAGATTTACATTCAGAAAGCAGGAATTTTCCGCTGCTGCTGTGAAATGTTTTCCGGAGCTCAGAGCAACTTTGCCCTTTAAGTGCAGCTGACATGCAAACAGAAAGTGAAACAAAAACTAATATCGTATTTCTACTGAGTCCCGTCACACCTTTTCTTCTTCCTCTCTTCCAGTTTCTCATTGAAACCAACTCCTTGAGGTTTTCCTTTACTCGTTTCTTGACGTAATGTCCTGAAACACAGAATCAGAGGAAACTTTAACCTGCTTCTTCTCAGCGGGTTGAAGAAATAAAACTAGTTAAAGTTCAGACTCACCTCCGTCTTCGCCTTCCTCCACTCGCCCAGCGGTCCTGACTTTGTCACAACTGAAAGACATCAAAGAAATGTTTAAACACGAGAAAACTCAGATTTTTAAACACTTAAAACGTTCTTCAATATGACAATTTCTGCATTAAAGCTGCAAAAATCTGATAATTA